GACGGGACCCGCGCGTGGAGGGGCAGGAGGACGGGACCCGCGCGTGCGGCCCTGCTGCGCCCAGCGCGAGCCGAAGGCAGAAGGGAAAGCGCCGAGGGGCGGTTCGGTGGCGGTAACGAACACAAAAGCGTTTGTGCCTCAAAGGCAGGACTAAGGATGGAGGCCGGGACTGGCGCCATAAATCACAGCCTAAGAGCCCTGGCAGGGAAACGGCTCCCACCGCCCTTCCCACCCAGGGCCCGGGGTTGTGGCACGTGTAAACCCATCCCAGCCCTGCAGGAAGGGAAATCCTTTGAGGAAAAAATAAAAATTAGTAAGTGGGTGGCGGGGGAGTTTCCCGGTTCACTGGAGCAAGTTGCTGCTGTAGATGCAGCATTTCTGACCTGTGCTGTCAAAGAGGAAAACTGACGGATGGAAAACAAAGTTTCTCCAGCTTGAAAGAGGAAACAAACAGTTACCATTTATGATTTTGGATTTAATTTTGATACTGCCAAATCACCTATCCGGCAATTCCAAAGGCGTCTCCTTTATTAACAAGTCACGTTGCCACATCCAGAAACAGTAAATCAAATTACAATGTCAAAGCCAACTGCAAAACATCTCTGAATTTAATTTGTTGCAGTCTCTAAATTTTCCTTGAAGTCAAAAAGAAATCCAAGTGTGGACAACAATCTATCATTGTAACCACCTGCCACTTATTTTAAAGTCAGAATTTAAATTATATATACACACACAAGCAATGCAGTGGTGATCCGGCCCTGCCTGAAAATAGACACCTGTGTTTGCCTACAGGTTTGGAACTCTGTGCTTATCCAGAGGGCAGAAATAAACAAGCTGGAAGGTGATGTGTACTTTGGGGAGCAAAACTGCCTAATGTGAAAACTGTGCTTGTAGGGGGTTTAACCCCCTTTAAGACAAAAAACAAACCACAAAACTGTTCCCTGCTCCTGCAGATCTCAGCTGGAGAAGATCTGCAGCTCAGTTTCACTTTCAGGATGCACCGGAGAGGGAAGGAGCAGCGCTGGGTGCTCACACGAGTACCTGCTGTACAGCCCTTCCCCTCAGCCCTGCAGCCCCGTGGACACCCGTTTGCTTCTCCTCTAAAGCACACGCTGAAGAGCGCACCAGGCGCCCCGTC